CTCTCGTTTAGTAAATAAAGAAACAAAACATGTTTCCATGGCTCCAAAACAGCGTTTGCAAAACGCTCACTTCTTGGACCACACCACACTCTCTTTTCCCCTAATCTAGTAGGGGTCTAATTACATTTCAACCACATACGAATACTACTGAGTGTTATTAAACATTCTTCTTACCGACATAAATTCGTAGAGACTGAGATTGAAGAAAAAAGTTACTTCATTTACAAGGTAGCCTGTATGTCCTGGTGATTCGAATCTGGAAACAAACAATCCTTTATAAACCTCTTTGAACAACCCTTGGATCTTGAAACCAAGTTTTATTGCCTACAAAAAAAGAGAATTACCTGCGCAAATGCGTAAATCGCTCGTAAGATTCTCGCGTAGTCTGTCTCGAGCATTTGAATAACCAAATCAGCCAGTAATGTTCCCCACATCCTGCAAACAAGAAACAGATCCATGTGCATATATGTAATGTAAACAGGATGTAGGTAGGTGCCTAGTGCTATATGATTAGGACAGTGTCCTACATTGGGCCGAGTAATTGCATCGCTGTTTTTAAGCCGATGTATCTGGATGCAGCTCCTGCAAAGCCCTGTGATCAAATCAAGGTAAATGTAATCACACTGCAAAAGGCGAAATGTAGTTTATGTTCACAAGTGATAAGAAGAAAGAAAAAGATAGATGGAGAAAAATGACTACATGCTTTGCTGCAAGAAGAGCTGCTCGAGATTCCAGGTTAATGGCGGCTAACTGTCCACCCTGTAGAAATAAGTTGATATAAGACATATTATTACACCATTGACATATCATGAGTGAAGATGTAATTTTTTCTGCAACGCGATGAAATGAGTACAAATGCAAACCTTTTTAAGTATCTCTTTCCTCATCTGGTAGTTAGCAGCTTCAAGGAATACTTTCCCCGATAGTCTCTTAGCCAACTATATAGGGCCAGCAGCGACAAGTTATTTGTATAGTCTCACGGAAGAAGATTAAGTTTAAATACACAAACTGTAATCGATTTCATACCAACTGATAAACTTTGACAAATGTGATCATGCCACCACCCTGCAAGAAAGCGAAAAACACGTAAGCCTGAGAAGAAACAGGACAGTACTAAGGTGGAAACACCTTAAAAACAAGACTACCTTTAGGAACATAGATTGGATCTCCGTAGCACCCACTTGTAGTGCAGCAAGTAGTTCAACTTTCCATTTACTGAGTCCGAGTTCTAAGCTCCCATTTACCTCTGATACTTCAGAATTTTCCCATAAGCCAGGAAAAATCCCTGATGCTTCACTACATGGATTAAGTTAGAGGTTGCAGCGAGAAAAGAGTTCAAAGAATCCCTCCACTGGAAAAAGCTTGCAGTGAAACTTATGAATCATTCCGAATACCTCGAGAAATTGTGGACAAGATAAAGAAAAATCTCTGCTTCTAGGTCTTCGGATGGCAATTGGCTGGAGCAGGGTATATTCAACTTCTTTCTGACTGCAAGTAAAACATTTCGGTATGTAGGCCTCCAACCCCTATAAAACGAAAGATTCATAAAGCGTACTCAAATTCTTAGTTCCAGATTCTCTATGAACATATATAATAACGCTACCTATAATGGGTCAGTTTCACACTAAAGTTGCAACCAAGAAAATTCAAGTTTCATATCTACTTCATCGAAAACTTAATACCCTAGTGAATCCCAAAGCAAGGAAGCTATTGTCTATTGTCAATGACAGAGCAAGCAAGCTTACTACCTCAGCGTTGAACGAGCATCTGCAGCGAGAAACAAGAATCTCGATTCAAGAGCTTCGATAAAACCATCTCGCACCTCAATGTCTTGGCCTATAATTATCCGGTCACCTCCTCCTCTATTCGGAATCGATTTCAGCAGAGGGCTGAAGTAGCTGCTCACCAAGCAAAGCAATCCCAAAAACGTTACTCAGATAAAAAAATTCACACTCTCATGATCATTCATCATCATATATGTCCAGAAAATCTTCAAACACTATAGTTCTAAGGGTTCAAGACTATGAATTTCGACATCGAAATCTAACACTAGAACCCTATATTGCTTACAGAAATTCACCTGGGACCAAAAAGGATATTCTCAAGCTCATACAATTCAGAATCTGTGGCTAGCTCAAAAACCAAACGAAGCTCCGGATCATAGGTTGCTGCAAAACCCAACATTCACAATAAGGGTAAGCAAAAACGCAATAATGTACGGAAGAAACCACAGAGCTTTCCTTCCACCTTCCGATGGCGATGCCGACTCAATCGCCGCCGCAGAAACAGCAAACCCTAGCCGTTTCCTCCGCCAATCAGCTCTACGAATCTGCAAAATCACAACCGATGGGTCGGGAAATGAAAACCCAAACACACACAGTCACTGAGAGAGTGAGATAAGACAAAAAGGGAGTACCTGAAGAGAAAACTTGGTCGGACTCA